TTCGGAAATTTGTCATGCACCGCAGAAAAAAAGTAGTTTAAGCTTTGGATTACAAGATCCACCCGAGAGGAGGGTTTTGCTTAGATAAGATGTTGCTTAGATCAAAAAAAATTCCAAGAAGGGTGATGACATGGCAATATTACTGAACTAACTTAAATTGCCTAACATGTACATTCTTGAGAAGCTAGAAGATATTAGCATTAAATTTCGTTGAATAAGTAACCTGCTCCAATCTGTGAAGTCATATCTTTAGTGACTTTAGTTAGGTAAAGAGGTACCTACTAGATAAAAAACAATGTTTTTCTTGAAGCCCATCGCCCATCCGAGTTTTTAATTAACCCACTAACCAAACCGTGAAATATTAAAAATAATTTAAAATGAATGATCTGATCTGATCTGATTTGATGTTTTAAATTTAAAGCAGTACAGGAGTAGGAAAAACAAAATAAGTATCCGAAAACCTTCTACTTTATCAGTTTTATGAATTCCAGTTCAGTTTTTGAAGTTAGTACATTTTTCCGTTTTTCAGTACATTTTTTGTCTCTTGATCAGTACTTCAATTTTCAAGGCTCTGGCAACGCTGGTCCCAAAATTAAATAGAACAGCAGAGGTAACAGGTGGAAATGCTTTTTGCGAACACACTGTGGTATTTACGATCGTTGTAACTAATTGCAAATTAGGATAGGGTTCCTAGCTAATTGTACGCTTGGTCAGATCAATCGCAAATACTACAGGGTCCCCGCAAAAAGCGTTTACACTAAGTTTTTACCTGTTCTATTCAATTTTGAAACAGGCACTATTGTGGTACATTTCCGGAATGTTCATGTCACATACTATGTATACACTATAGATGTGCCAAGGCATATATCATGAATATACATATCACATGATATGTACATTCCTGAAGAATATAGTAGGTACATTTGGAGCATATTCTCTGGATATGTGTTCAGTACATACTGAGCTTGTGACTAGGACATACTTGAGGATATTATAAGCACATACCTAACATCTGTTACGGTGGGTCTGTAACATATACTTTGGATGTACTGTGGATGTGCGCAATGCTTTTTTGGAACATATCTAGCATATCCTTTTCCTTGTCTGGAATATTCTGTACATGTGCTTAAGCATGTACAATTGCTATGTGGGTTGTATACCTACTGTATTTATTTATTTTTTAAATAATTTTATTTTATTGACATGATCGACACCCTATGGTTAAAAAATGTATTTCTGATCGAATAAAGAATCTTATCTTATCTTATTATAGAATCACTTACACATTAATAAATTATTGGTTTTTTTCTTTCTTTTATAAGCTTTATTATCATACTAGTTAAATAAATAGATATACCTACCATCAAGTCAATTAACACCTCCAATATAATTATCTCAAATAGAATAAAAATTAGTTTCAAAAAAAAAAACTTTTAAATACCTATTACAACCTCTTACGTTCATACTAAATAAGCTGCATGGTACATTGAATAATGTAAGTATTAACAACGCGCGAAAGTAAGGCGTAATCTTACTTTCACGAATAAACTCGGCCGGCCAGAAAAAAAAAACACCAAACCGGGACCTGGAAGACCAATAAAATTGAATTGTTAAAGGTAGTTTATCACCCTTTCAAGCCGGATTTTTAACTCTAAATTGGTTGCAGATTTATTTATTTTTTTTTTGTAGGATTATTTATCTACTAAAAAACATCGAATGCGAACCCATTTTCAAATTTCGGCGCCATTTTGTCTGGGATATATCTGTCCCAGACAGACTTCTTTAATGGAACATAATTAACCCAACAGACCAAAAATTACTGCAAAGCTATCTTCAGAATCACATTCTGGGGGTTTATAGTTTTCATCTGAGTATTCACTATCATGGAATGGGTCTTCTAGGACACTTTCCCCTTCATACTCAGCTTCTAACTCTGTTTGAGTTAAGAACTTGCGGCTCATCTACAAATAAAAATGCCTGTTGGGGCACATTGATTTAACCCAATAAAAAAAGCTGCTGCTCATAGGTCCCAGCAGAAATTTTTCTAAATTATATCGACTGCATAAAACACAAAACTTATTACAATCTCATCTTTGTTCAAAAAAATCAAAATAAAATTCGTTCAAACACCACTAAAATTCACTTCAAAATAATGCTAAAACTCGCATACACGACGTTGCTAAACGTAAAATAGCGCGCAACACGTGGGGAAGACCTTGTAGGACTGAGTTATTCATAACACATTAAATGAGACACAATAGAACCACCAGACTTTCTCAGAGTGATAGTGGGATACATTATGTCCCACTCCAGATAGACTCGAAAGGGTTAAATCGATGGGTAAAAACGACGCCTTAGAAATTACCATCCTCTTAGGTTAGCCCACACCAATCACCAAGAGGTTCAAGTAAATTTCGTCCCCATCATACAAGGGTATAATAACCATGTATGGCAAAAAGTGACAAAAAAAAAAACTACGGACAATAATCTGAATAAATTCTTGTCACATTTCCCATAATTTGGATATTTGAATTACGGTGATACTTTCGCGAACTACGGGATGCAAATTACGGACACCCTCACCAAAATATCACCATTTTAACTACAACTAATTTTAAAATAAATAGTTTTTAGTGGAGAATCAGAGAAGGGCAAATATTTACCTTGCGCAAATTTCACCAGGACAGGGTCTGGACGATAATGCTTTCTAATCTAGTTACAAAGTAAAGTTTCATATCGCTAGATAGAAAATTTAACGGATTATTTGGTTTGGTTGGGATATTTTGGTATTCAAGTCTTATTTTTTAAAAAAAGTGGTAAAGTGAACTAAGATGGGGATGTGCTAGTAGATCTAACAATATACTTTTCACGGAATCTCTATCAAAAGCACGAAATATTCGAGAAGAATCCAATGACCAAGTCTGGACGAAACTTTTCAGTTGCAGGTAGGCCTGCTGCCAACTGATCATCTAAAGAATTAGAACGAAACTCTTCGACCGTTTTTTATAATGGATAATTAATTAATTTTATTTTTATCCTTTAGATCGATTTTTTTTTCTATAATTAAGTCGTGGATCGAAGTTAGACAAATAAAAGAGAATTAAGTGAATGTTGAAATTTTCAATTAGGTTGATGTTTCAAAGTATCTAGATAATATGTAAAAATATTATTTGGCACTTAAATCACATTTAATTAAGAAAAATAGATAGGTACCTAATTACCCTAGGTTAACTTCATGGTTAGGTTATTGCCCCAGTGCCTCTTGTTTTGAATAATGCTATGTTTACTCTGCAATATCAATGCAACATTTTTTTGTCGAATATTGAAGCGTACTACGAGTAAATTATATTTTTTATCGACCTTGCATTGATCTTGGCCTTACCTTGCTAGTTAAATAAAAATCAGGCATTGAAAATTCACTGTAGGAACAATAAATAAAATCCACGAAAGCTTTTAATCATGACAAATACAATTAGTTTTATTTCAGTCTTTTATAAAACTTATTTGAGATAAAATTGTAAATTACAATATAATTAAAATATATATTTAACAAACGAATATAAATTTAAACAAAGCGATAAGAAATAACCAAAGTAAAGTTTAAATTTACAAGTTTAAAATTTTAATAATAATTTGTACTTAACAGGAAAAAAATAAACAACAAATGAAAAAGTAATATTTAGTAGACAAAACCCAACTTCAAAAGGCTACTATATATACATATAAACAATGGAAGTTTTTTGTAGTACCTATCGGTCGTTGTGAAGGGCTTAGTGGAAAAAGAGAGTTTTCGTTCCTAGCCCTTCACAACGACCGATACCCCAAGAAACTCCCATTGCTTATACATTCTCCGGTCAAGATACTCTATATGTATATATACAGGGTGACTCTGAAAGTGAGGTTTTTTTTAACCGGATATATATCTTACCAAAATAAGTTGTTTGGCAAAAAATTGTTTATATGAAAATTTAAGATAACGGAGGTACAGGTATTTTGAGGTTTAAAGAAGACTCTCACTATAAAAAATTATGTTTACATTTTCTCAAAAAAAAAGCTGCAAAAAAAGCCATTATTAGTCCAGCATAATGAGTTTTATTCCTTAATAGGTACTCACAGTTGCATTATTTCATCAGAAAAATGTCCATTGTCAACCTACTAATTTTCATTTTAAAGTGGAGCAAACAAAATTTAGAAGGGAAATGACACCTCAGACAAATGGGGATAATTTTGTACAATCTTTCTCTAATAAATCTTAGATTATTGAAATTAGATTTTCAATGTACAAAACCCTAAAATACCTGTACTTCGGTTATCTTGAATTTTTTATGTATGTATGTATGTATGTATGTATGTAAACAATATTGTGCCAAACAACTTATTTTGGCGAGATATATACCCTGTTAACAAAAAAACCTCACTTGCAGATTTACCCTGTATATATGCACAATATTTATTTTTCAAACAGCACAACATGTGTCTTGTATAACTAAAACTCACCTATTCACTAATAATATTTCTTATAAATTATTTTTATAGCTGAAAATAAATTTAGACATAAATAATAATATCAGATTCTGATCATAAAATTAATATTGAAACAAGAGGATTTACTAAATAATATAAAAACGCCTTCCATAGGAACAACATATGCACAATTAAATATCTACAATTATATAATAAAATAATTAAAATTATGTAAAACAATTAAAATACCTGAATAATAAAAATACCACACATTTTAAAAAGCATATAATTAAATAATAATTAAAATGAAAATAAATTAAATTAATCCTGTATAGGAATTTTATTCTCTAATGGAATAGTGATGCTTATTCTTATTATTAGTATTATCTCACAATTCCTTAATGTAAATGAAGTGGCTCGAAAATTCCAGTCTTTAAAATTGAGTAGTCTTTCTGTAGACTATATTACTACATGTTTTATAAATTTGAATTTAATAAAAATCAAATTTAAACCAAAAAAAAATATCTACATGTAAATTAGTTTTGATTTTTATTCCTAGTCTTTAAGATAAGTTTAAAGCAATCTGGAGCAACGGCCACACAACTAGGTTTAATTTTTATTTCAGAGCCTGGAGAAATGTCATATTTTTGTAGAAGTGTCGAGATAATGATAAAACTAAAGCATTGTACTAGGCGTTGACCAATACAAGTTCTTTTTCCAGTGCTGAAAGGTATAAAATGTGCTGGCTTCACGACGGTTCCGGATGCAGAAATGAATCTTTCTGGTTTAAATTGTTCAGGATCATCCCAATATTCGGGACTTAAATTTAGTTCGTAATTATTTAAAAAAATCATGGTGCCACGTTTTATAGGGAAACCTTCTATATCAGTGTCTGTAGATGCAACATGAGGTACAATTGGAGAAGAACCTTTACGTAAAGTTTCCCATAGGACAGCTTCAGTATATGGCATCGCTTCTTTATCGAAAAGGTCTACGTAACGCTGGCCGTAATTAGTGACACTGTCTACTTCTTCTTGAATTTTCGCAGCAATTTCTGGATATTTTACAACATTTGCTAGAACCATCATCACCAAGTTACCAATAGCAGAGTGACCACCAATAAAATCTTCCAATTCGAAAATAATATGTTGCCACTCCATATTGGGATCTTCCTGGAGATGAATTAGCAAGGCATCTGTGAAATCTCTTGGTGGTGCGTGGTAGTCCAAAGTTTTGACATGATCCTGCACGATTCTAGCTAGAATAAACTCCCTGATATTTGCAGCCCATAGGGATAACTTACTCATGTGCTTACTGTACATAGGCAACAGCCATGGCAAGAAATCTACAGCATATCCTTGATTAATTTCCCAGAAAATCTCGTCAAAATCTCTCACTATTTTTCTGAAATCTTTATCGTCATAAGGGAAACTTGTGGAGCACATATATTGCATGAACATATTTGCACAAGCAGCTAATACAACGGGCTTAACATCCACGGGCTCATTCAGTGGAAATTTTTCCATTTCTCTTACGAAAACTTCAAGCTCATTACAGCCGACAGTATTGACTGCAGCGTATTGTAATGACGTAAACCTAGGCGAGCAATACATTCTAGCGATACTTCTTCTGGTTTTCTGCAGAACCGACCAGTCGCAGAGCGCCAAAGCTGCAACAAAAGAATAAGTACATTATTGAAGTGAAAACTTTGTTAGGAGCGTTCAGTACATTTTTTTCGGGGTAGTGAATAGGCCGAAACGCCCGAAAAGGTAACGCTCATTTGGGTACAGTCCGCTCGAGTCGACTTCAACCAAGTGAGAGAGAAACAGTTAACAGGGCGCGAGAGAGAGAGATACCGCGATTGGGATTCAATCGAGACTCTCCGTAGAACAAATTTCAGCGATGTTGCCGATATCATTGGCAAGGATTTGCCAGATAAGAGGTGACTAATTCAATAACACAGAAGAAAGAAGAGAATAATTTTGTCTATGACCTAATTTCCAGTAATAAGGTAATCCATTGATCTGTCAGAACAAAAAATCAATATGGCGGCAATGGTCAAACATCTGTGATGTTTGTTTATTTTAACCTACGTTTTATTGACTTTTTGAAGTGAAGTGGAAACTTCTCAGGCGTGCTTAGCAGTTTTTTGTGGGTAATGAATGAAACTTAGCCATCAGATGACGATCAGTCAGAGCAAAATCTACCAGAGTAGGTCATTTATACACAATTATTTGTTCACATTTGTGAATATAGAACAAAAAATAAATAAAAAATACTTATTTTTAGCGAGATTATTAATCTCACCTTGTCGCAGTTTTCACTTCTGTCGTGTGGTCATAAGCACACACTGTAATTTTTTTTGAATAATAATTTGGTATTAATTTGTTTTCCCAAAAAAAGAAAAAACATTTTCAGTTGGCACGAAATTTTGGAAATTTGCAGGGGATGGATTAAAAGGGAAACGGAATAAAAGGGGAAATCGAACAACATCTTTTCCGTGATCTTCTTCAATTTTTCGTTAAAATTCCTTAATGATGAACCGATGAGAACATATCATCAGATTCTGCAATAATCCATTTTTTCAAATAAAAGTATTTATATTCCTAGAATGTATTTTTTTATTGAAGGCCAGAAGTAATTGCACATATAGGTACCTATGCAGTCAATATTCTTGAAAAAAATATTAAATTTATTTATTCACCCTTTACTTATATTCAAAATATGCATTCAAGAACATAGATAATAAACAAGCAACAACATAATATCGAAAGAAAAATCGTAATAGAGGTCAACAAAATGGTTTAAAAGTAGACGCATTTTACCGGCCCAAAGTAAAAGTGCTCGCTGAAGTGAAATTGGTTAGTGAAATGATCTCGTAAAAATGAAAAAAAAAAAAAAAAAAGCCAAGTGATTGGTCAGACTGATCAGATTCAGTTTCATTGGAAGTTTCAAGTTCAAGTTCATGGGCAGCCAGCAGCCAGTGTGAGCATACGCAACGTTATGAATGAACAGGTGTGTTGCCTTGCTTTGTGGTTAAGACAGAAAGTTGACAGAGAGATTGGCATTTATCTCTTTTCGTACGACACAGATACCGCATAGGCGTACATGAACAGTTGTATATGTTAGTTGCGTTTTTCATCTAAACTCTAGATTGGCATCGTTTTAATTAAATATTTCATCGTTAAACTAATGGTGATATAATATTTATGAAAAAACGATAGGTTACCTATGGCCAAAAATAGCAGTATTAGGTAGGTATTTGGACACCAAGTGATTATTACACATACATATTTCCTTGTATTTAAAACCCAAATATTTCCTACTTCACTTTTGCCAGATGATTGTGTTCTATTTATTTTATTATCTACTTTGATGTTAAGAAATATTGTGCAATTTCTTGAATATTGAAAATTGCAATAGATGAAAATGCTTCAGTAAGGGGTTTTATGCACTGAAATTCAGTGTGATACGAAGAAGATGTCGCACTATTGTGAAAAGAAATGCATAATATGTTATCATTATGATATTTGCGAATGGATAGAAATATGCAGGCATGTACAGTCGTGAGCATTAAAAGTGGGACACCCGACTGACTGGTCTTGTCATTTTTCGCTATTTTGGGTAGCTCAGTCTTTTCTGTACGACGGGTTTTTTGTCAAATATGACAATCCCTATCATTGACGACGGTGTAGCTGGTGAGATCGTTTTATAATATGAAAAATCGGGTGTCCCATTTTTAATGCTCACGACTGTGCATACTTTTTTTTAAATCAGATTTTTTTGGGATGTGATTATTTAATTTTTTTTTTGGTACGAAAGCTCTATGTTGGTTTTTGCCTGTATCGCAAAATTAATTTCATATATTCTGGTGAATAATAATATTATGTACTTGTATAAAATAAATAAACAAAATACAATCAACTATGAGCGATTTATGGAGCACGGAATTGATTTTTAACTTAGTTCCCTACATTGGTTTTAGTGACTTGTTAATAAATATTTAAGTTTTTTCTCTAAAATAAATTTCGTGTTTAGTTGAAAGGTTTGAAGATACATTAATATAATTTGTGTTATTATGGTTAAAAAATGCTGACAGAATCTCAAAACTTTTTGACTTGAGAAATTGATAAAAACTGATTAGAAAAAAGGTAAAAATAAATTAAAAAGATAAAAGGGTGCAAGATGATATTAAAAATAAAAACTACATAATATTGCCACTTATTTGTTGATAAGCATTTTTGATTTTGAAAAAATAATGTTGAGGTCTTGTATATCAGTTTTCTTATTCAACGAATTTGATTCCTCCTTGATATGAAACATTTCTAAAAAGCAACTTTTTGGTAATTTTTCTTTCAGTTGGTACAACAGTTAGTAGCATTATTAAAATCCATCAAGTGTCCATTTTGATCAACATGTTCAACGATGTTATGAAAGAGCGCAAGAATCGGGTCTCAAACGAATATCACTTATTTTATGTGAAATTATACGCGACTTAAGATTTCTCGTTGTTTGACCAATATAGTTTTTTTCGCAACCCAAGCAGTTTGTTTTATAAACAACATTAGATTTTTGTTGTGTTGTTGTTTTATAAACAACATTATATTTTTGCTGTATTGTTGTTTTGCCTTTCAATTTAAAAAAATGGTATTTAGAGTTTTATTGACAATAATTATATTATACAGTGTGGTTATTTAAGTGTGCAACATAAGGGATTTTTTTTAGTAATAGCACAACCCAAATGCAAACAAGGCCAAAAGTTGGTGTATGTCTGCTAATCATATTAGGTGCACTTAGAATGGTTGCAAGTCAAACAGCATACAGGGTAGCTCAAACAATATCAAAATTGTACTGTAGAGTACCCTTGTTTAAGAAAATTCAGCAAAATGGTAGAGTTTTAAGCAGAGTTTGTTTAATATGCATATTATCATTGGATTGGTAATGTTTTAACTTGTTAAAAAAAATTACGACATTTTAAAGTTGTGTTGAATATCATTGCAACAAACATGAACTTTGTGATTCCATAAAAAATTAAAAATCTAAGTTAATTTTACAAATATGCTTGAATTTGAACAATGTTATGTAAAATTGATTTGATTTTAATTAACTTTTGCAAGTATTAAGGACGGAAATAAAAAATTAAAAAATATAGAAATTATTAATTTTTTTCGAAAAAAAAAAAAAATCTTAGGAGGCTATGTTTTGGTATTTAGGTATAAATTTTAATTCCAAACAACTTTTCTCAATAACATTTTGCTGAATTTTCTAAAATAGCGGTACTTTACAATACAATTTTGATTGTGCTATTACTAAAAAAAATCCCATATGTTGCACACTTAAAAATATCCACACTGTATAATATCTATTTTTAAAATCACAATCCCTTTTACTTTTTCAGTTTTAACCTTTTTTAACCAGTTTTTATCAATTTCATAAGTCAAAACGTTTCTATCAGCATTTTTGGACCATAATAAAACAAATTTAATCATATCATCTATCAAAAACGATCAAACGTAACTTAACTTGTAAGTTTTTTTTTTAGAAGTCTTATAGTCTGTTATATAATTTACAGTCTGCATGCCACTAAAATTAAAGACACTGTAAGTTTTTTTTTTTTTTTTTTCAAATTTATTAATTGTATATTTATATAAAGGGTGTCCGGAAAATAGCGTAAAAGCTCTCCACTATGTGGTAGGGACTAGGGAATCCTTTGAGTAACCATATAGAAAAATAACTGAAAAAATCCTCTTCGACCATTCTTGTTAATATGAAGGGGTAAATGTGGAAATTCAATTTCCTTATTTATGTTTTTTGTTTCAAATTGCAATATTTCGTACAAAGTGTTAGGTATCTTTTCTTGTTTCATAACAGAATAATTTATAAAAAAATGTTGTTAACCATTAAAGCGCATCATGAAAATTGCAAAATTTCTAAATTACCACATTAAAAATGTATCTGACAACATTTTTTAGTCACTTACGAATTTTTCAGGTAATTACATACCTAGCTATTTAATTTATTTCTGTGACAAATTGTCACCGGGATATTTTCAGTGTTGCCAATTTTAATAAACATCAAAATGGTAATAACTTCCTTAAAAATGCCACCAGATTTTTTAAATTATTTTTCTGGGGTTCCTTTTGAAGGGCCCTCGACCACGTAGTGGAGAGTTTTTACGCTATTTTCCGGACACCCTGTATAGGTATATTTTAGTTTTGATGAAGAAGCAATAAAACTATTGCGAAAGCTACGAAATTTCCTGACATAAAAGTGTTTCACGAACATCGAAACAGAGGCGTTTTAGGGTATTTTGTGGTCCAAAAAAAAACGCTCGGACACGTCAACTTTTTGACCCCATCGGTATTTCGCTAGGGCGCACCCGCGGGGTGGGGTGACTTTCACCACTCTTTTTTAGGTAAGGAAGATGGGTCGAGTGGTACCTTATTTCAAAGATATTTTGATTCTCGTCACAACTGCATATTTTTGCTGAAAATCAAATGATTAGATCTCAAGATATACACTACCAAATTTGTCATGGACTAAATAGGAAAAAAAAATTCTGGCCCTGTTATTCTCAAACTAACACTTTTCTGACTTTCCTCTCGGACACGTC